AAAAAATAGTGTGTAAAATATGATATAAAAAATCGAATACTCGTTAAAAAATTGAGTGTTCTGAATTTTTAAAAAAGAACATGCGAAAAATATAGTTCAGAAAATTAAAATTATAAAAAATATAATATTTTTAGAAATGATAGGATATTAAATTCCTGAAATATTATATATAAATATGTGGTAATTATTTAATGATCGTGTAAATGTGAAATAGGAAATAATTTAAAAACATACCTAAATAAAAATGTCACCTAATCAATTGAAGAATCCATCTCATCAATTGAACTCCAACTAAGCAATTTTGATAAATGACATCATCATTTGCCACATGTCAATCATTGAGGGCATAGATCCTCTTTTTATATTATATATAGAAGATTGTAAAAGCTTTTGAAAATTGATTATAAGTTTTTTTTTCCTGCTTTTATTAAAATAATTTAATAAGTAACTTTTAAGTTATAATTCGAAAATATGGTTGTAGTTGGTTCTCCAATTTTAAAACACTTACGCCTCATTTGGTTATTGCAATGATTGAGGCATATTGACTAAATAGCAGCATTTAGTAAATATGTTTGGTTGACAAGATTTAAATCAATTTAAGTCCGCGATATAAGTTGGAGCCGTAACTAATTGATACCATTCAATGAAATTAACAGATGAAATAAGTAATTATTTCAAATCTTGTTCACGATCACTAATTTTTACTTTTACAAAAGTTTTGTCAAACACCACTTAAGCTTTGATAATTGAGAGAGTTTCCGAAATTTTAATATTTTGTATTTGTATGGAAATTGCGATGTACAAATAAAATGATCAATTATATTTTTTTATGATGAAGGAACCCGCAACCAAGCATATAGATGCATTGGATAACCTATACTCTCGTATAATAATTTTAATAATATAATATAACTTTTGCTTTATTAATGCAAAGCTTGTAACTTGTAAGTTCTTAATGAAATAAGAAAAAGCAAATTAAAGGAAACAATGTGAATGCACACCTTTGTTCTTGTTGTTCGGACAAAATCCTTCAAAAGTTAATTCCTAGGAATCATATATACGTTCTTCTTTCGATTTTTATAAGGTTTTTGGTACATTATTCTATTCATTTAAACAACTACATCCTCATCTTATTATTTTACAAATTTTAAAATAATTATCGTTTAAGGTTTCGACACTAAGTCTTAACAATATGTATTGGTTGTTAGAAGCAAAAAGTAATAAGATTGGATTGCCATTTAACATTTTTTTTTAATTATTAATTAATTCACTTGTAAAAGTTAAAGGTAAATTACGTAAAATTACGATTTTTTTCTTTATGTTTGGGTAATTACATCCATCCCTTTAATAAATAATCTTCTTATACTTTTATCTTTGCGGTGTTAAATTTAGTGCAATCTTTTAGATTATGTGGAATATTTTCCAGTTTACACTCATTTAATTACTCCATCCGAGCTCCATGCTTTGAAACGAGATGATCATAAAACGTGTCTCTTGGCTTGTACATATCAGATTGTGGTGCATCACAAACTGCATTTTTGCACAAAACGAGTATAAACTATAGAACATTATATTCCACAAAATCTAGAAATTTTGTATAATTTAACACCATGAGGATGGACGTGTAAAAAAATCCATAATTGAGAGGGATGATTGTAATTACCCAAACACAATGAATGTTTTTTTTTAATAATT